ATCCAAGGCGGACGCTCTAACCACTTAGAACACCAGAGAGAGAGAGAGAGAGAGAGAGAGAGAGAGAGAGAGAGAGAGAGAGAGAGAGAGAGAGAGAGAGAGAGAGAGAGAGAGAGAGAGAGCGTACTAATACAATAAAGCATATGAGCATAAAAGGGACATACAAATAAAACAATTTGTTTTAGATTATAAAATTATTAACTCTTGATGGAACGATACACATTTTATTTTATTACGACAAAATTTAAGACATAGAATAAAATAAATATTGCTTCACCATCAATTGGATCGTCGTAAAGCGTCTCTTTCTGCGTTTGAATTAATTAATGCCCGATTGGAATGAAGCTTCTAGAACTGCGACGACAACGACTAATACTAAGCGTAAATGTAATAGTCAACACGTAGTTAATCACGACCAGTCTGACAAGATTGCAAACACGGAAGCCCTTATCTAGATTGCCACTTGTATTGATAGACCATTTCATGTCAAGCTTTTAGCTGGCAGGGAATTCCCAATGACGTTACGATCATCTTACGAAAACTTAAACAACATACCTGTACGTTGTACACAAATTGCTCGACTTGACGCAAACATAAACATGCTGTGATTTAGATAACATGAATCAAAAGAATAATTTACTCATTTAACACAAGTGTTACAAACGAAAGCCATTTTGTCATCTAAGTCCAAATCAGGATAAGATATGGAATTTAACAAAAAATAAAACGTTTAGTTCACAAGACAGACTTTGTTTTTTTATATTGTCGATCATTATTCAGATTGCTTATTGTGTTATGTTTTACTTAATTTTGTGTGACTGTATCATGCCCAGGATATAGAGGCTAAGTGCCTTTCCCAAGTACATACGGAGGAAGCCAAATCGGACTGATCTCTGCGTGTATCGAACCCGCATTTGTTGGATTAAGAGTTGTACTTTCAACCAACTGGGCTAACACATCTCCGCTCTGATTGATGCTCTTGAAAGGTTTAAGCGTGGAATTTAGATATATTTGATGATGGAGGTTTGTGAAATTTAGTATTTGAAATAAAGTGCCCATTTATTGTAAATTTATGACTACTACACGTTTATGCGACCAGTTTGCATTCAAAACGTATTTCCTAACCAATATATAAGTAAGGCAACCTTTGTGAATTATAAACTTTGAATAATTAGTTAGAAGAAATGTTGAAATTGTTCATACTTTCTTTCTTCATTACTCACCAATATGTGGTGGTTTTTCCTTTTTCTAGATGAAATAGTATTAAACAACTATGGATACTATTCCAAGAACCCCCATTCTACCTTGATCTTTATTCTTCTGCTCCTTTTTTGTCTATCCATCTGCATGAGCGTACCTATCTACTCACCTAAGTGTACATAGATTAATAAATGGAACGAAAAACAAGCTGTAAAGTCTTACGATTAACTATACTTAATATACTTACCAAATGGAACATAACTATTCTAATTAGCATTGTGGCGTATATACACTATCAACGAAACGATTTCGCGAACTAAATTTCCAAATGGAGTAAATCTGTATCTTATATGCAGCAATGAATTTCCCGTGTGTGTCTGACAGCTTGTTTCTTGTTTAATGATAGCTATATGTGTCATTCGTAATTTTGCTAGTATCCGTGGGTCACACCCACGTCAATATTACATTATCCAATCAGAGAACATATGCCTAAAAATAGTAACAGAAAATGCCCCATATTAGACAGATAAGTATTATTACGATTTATCATCAATCATCATGCAAGCTGACCGCAGATTCCCTTTGTATTTAGCAGGTTTATCTGCACAAGGTAGACTAATCGTCGACACACCAAATAAATAAACTGTTTTTTTCCCCATTGACCTCAAGTTAGTTTCTTTTCCTTATTTCCATATGAATAATGATTGGTAACCAGTACTATTTAATAAGTAGACAGTTAAACATTCTCGATTAAAAAAAATGTTACATCCATTTGACTACTTTCATTTCCGATTCAATAAATAAAAGGTTGCCCATTAATCCCGATATAAAAAAAAATCGAATTTGAACAATATTCAGTACATTCAAAGCTATTATTCTAACCCAATATGGGAAAATATGAGTATTCTTTTTTTTTTGGCACTCTTAAATAAAGGTGAATACAAAGAGATTACCGTCTATACGAAATTTTAAATGATGTGAACTTGGGGTAATTTTTTATCTGAACCCTTTTATGACAGTTTCTAGTTAGGGATCTCTCCCCACCAGTAGGAAATGTTTACGGAAAATCCGTCACGTCGATTTCGAAATCTATGCATTTAATATAAGAGAGCTAAAAGAAAGCTCACAAGGTGAGTGCTTATGGAATAGCCCCTCCTTATGGAAATTTCCCATAGACACAGCTTTTAAAATTTGATCTCTAGCGATATTCTCCAGCCCCCAGCCCGAAAATCTTAAAATATTATCTGAGAGAAATGTAAGTACAGGCTATGTGTTAAGAGGAGGTAGTTTCTTGTTAAGTACCCGCACCATCAGTAGGAGAGGTTTACCAACCATTCGTTGAGCCGATTGCAATAAATGGTCCTATCTCCCTACAAAATATGAAACTAAAAACAAAAAAAAAACCCACAAAAAACAACAAAATAAATTAGAAGAAACAAAATTTAAAGCTGAAGAGGGGAAAATACATGTGTTGCCATCATTCCAAATCAAAATACTCGTACATGCAGATAGAAATGGTCATATTCATTCTATTTCGTGTGGAACGATACCATAGTCACCAGTTTTGTGATGGGATGGATTAGTTTCGTAAAAATGAACCCTTCGTGATTTTTTAGCATAAAGAATACTCCGAATATTTTTAGGTATAATTGCTTAGTAACTTAAGATAAGATTAACTGTTTGCTTTGGGCGTTGGTTCGTGCCTCTTGGTGCATAGCGTGAAGTAATAAAATTCTGGTTAGAAATGATTACTAATGAGTTCAATCGCTCCGGTGGCCAAGTGGTTAGAGTGTGGGTTCGATCCTCGGTCGAGTCATACCAAAGACTTACAAATATGGTACTAGCAGCTTCCTCGCTTGGAGTTTAACATTAAGAGGTTAGTGTTAGGACTGGTCGGCCTGGTGTCAGTATAATGTGATTGGGTGGGACATCATGCTACATGTCTGCGAAATGATGCCCCAGTGTTAGACATCACTATAAACTGCGATATGACTGAAAAAGTGTTAAAACTACGATAAAAATCATAATCACAGCACATCACATCACTAATGAGTTCATCTTCGCTAGCCAAAGTTCCGATATAATAACCCTATCTCCAGATATCGTATTTTTGGAACCTTGGCTAGCGATGATACTAATGAGTAATAAAAATGTGAAACAAGAAACACTATGCTAGTGCAAAATTAAAGAAGGACATATTAGTAGTGTCTACGCATTTAATAAGCCTTCAATTCAGGTGTTTGATTCGCTCTAGCGAATCAGGACCAAAAAATGGGGGAGGGAGTGAAGCTTCGATTCTTCCAATATTTTTTGTACCAACTGAACTTCTAAGAGAAATTTTAGAGTTTCTATTTAGCTATCTGTTTCCACAATAAGAAAAGTTTAAAACAATTCGTGGAACCGATTTCGAGAAATAGGGAGATTTTCTTCTTGGATGACTTGCTTCAAAGAAATAATGCTTGGTTTGAACTAAAATTAGTCCTATGTAAGATATGAATGCCATTTTCTGAATGGATACTTCACAGAACAGCTTTGTTTACGACATGTGCATTAGCCTTTGCTGTGTTTTTGATTCAAAATGGAAATGACATAATATAAAGCAGAAACATCTAAGTATGCACATCAACGTTATTCTGTTTTTGTATTTAGGTGTAGACAGATGTGATAAAAGGTAGAGGTCAACAATATGTTTTCCATTTATATTTATGAAAATCGATGTTCTAAACGTTTCTTCAATAACGCCAACATTTTCTCATTAATTATAAGGTCTGTTGCATACGTTTCATTTATGAAGGTAGTCTTATAGGTAAATAGATGAAGAATAACAACTCCCCTTTTCTAATCTTTCTAATCCTTAACGTCTTTCACTTTCTTTCATCTGAATAAAAGTTTAACAATATTCCCATGAACGCAAAAGCAGGTGCGGTGGTACAAATATGGAAAGAAATCAATCATTTGTGATATTTACATTTTTATTAGATCCTCTGTTTAAACAAACATATTTAAGGCTGATATTAGTAAGCAAACTCTTTGACAATAAAATCACATGATGCAATAAATGCATTAAACAGGATGAGTTGTCAGATGGGCAGATAAGTTGATCAACATGGAGGGAAAGAGAATGGATGGACAGATGAAGGGATGAACATAGATGAATGGGCAAAGTTCGATCAGATTGATGGGCAAGTGATGCACTGATAAATGGAGGAACCAATAGACAAATTCAGACTTATACATGAATAAAGGGATAGAAGGACAAACAGAAATGGGTGAATGATTTAATGGATAGTCTCATGCACAGACAGACAGACAGACAGGGTACAAGAACAGAAAAATAGACTAGTGAATAAAGTTTTAGACAGGTAATAAAGTTGTCTAATGAATAATAACTCTACAGTAGACTGATTCAAGTATCTTTCACACAACGAATGCTCGAATTGGATTGATGAGGGTGCAACTAATTCTTATCCCATTTGTTTGTTTGGAAGAAGGAAAACCTAATGATGCCCAGCAAATTTATTCTTAAAAGTTCCATCGATGAACACATTGTATCAGAAACACAGTAGCACGGTTATTCTAATGATATATTTTTGCTGTTATTTAAATGTTCCACCATCTACCAACCAGCATTTTGCGTTAGCATTAGATTGGTTTTGCAGTACCGATGTAGTCATTACTAAAGCCTGATTGTACAATGGTTTTTTTTTGTTTTTTTTTTGTTTTTGTTTTTTTGTAAGGACTTTAGTGTTAGTAAATTATATTATTTTAATCCAGGTCGGCCGGCAAACAGTGAAGTGATCGCATCGGTAGCTTAAGTGGTTAGAGCGTCCACCTCAGATGCGGGAGGTCGTGGGCTCGACTTATAAAAATGGTGCTAGCAGCTGTCTCATTTGGAGCTGAGCATTAAGAGGTTAGTGTTAGGACTGGTTAGCTTGATGTCAGGAAAATGTGACTGAGTGGGATATAATGCTACATGTCTGTGACATCAATGCCGCACTATAAACTGCCACACTGCAGATATTGTACCAATATAACTGAAGCATGGTAAAGCTACGTTAAAGATCCAAATCACACACACACGCGCGCGCGTAAACAAATGAATAATGGGAAATGCCACATTTTAGTTTGTAGCATTACCTGTGTTCATTTCATGCATATTACTGTCACCACACTGTCCATGGATATAATCATACGTGTGTAAGTATACATTGAATGTTCTATGCATAACAAATGCTGTTGACTGGTACTTTAAACCTGATTCCCAAACAAGAAATATGCAACTCATTGCCTTAAAATTTATTGTATAAATTCCAGACTACTTTTACATATGCATTGAACTATGACTAAAAATGAAAAAGCGATGATATTTGTTTTCAAGGAAAAGCTTAAGTCCTTGTCCAAGCTTACAAGTCCAACTCAGATCATGCTCAACTTGACTCAATTTACAAAATCTCTTGTATCTAATAATAGATTTACACTACGTTGCTTGATCTAAGTTGTACGTGGAGTTGCACGGAAAATCTTAGCGATAACAAAACATATTGAATATTGACCTTGAAGATACCATGCCCAAGATTTGCATGACAGATATAAAAAGTTTCATCCCTAAATCTCAAATGTATCATTTGTTATCGAACATAAAGGAAAGTGTGATTGAAAATTGGAATATAATGAACCATGACCTTGAATAGGAAGATACTATGCCCAACAATGTGGTATGCCCTTGTGATGATATATTAGTATAAATTTCATACGTTGATCTCTAATGGCTATGACTGTAGAGTGGAGGAACATTGTATGGCAACTCAAGGAAAAGTGGTTTGGAGAATGTAACACATTACCCCATGAACTAAATTTCGAAGACAAACACCCCTTATATACCATTTAACTTGCTTATTAGTAGAGTCATACTGCAGATTCCACTGACCCAGATCTTCCATCGCATAATGCAGCTGCAGATTGTGGGTTTGTGTAGTTTGTTAGGAGTAATAAGTAGAACAAACAACATAGATACTGTTCTGGAGTCACATCATGCTACGGTAATGCATCTTTGTTGTATGCAATTTGATTCGTCTTAAATGCAAGTATATACTGCACTAGGCACAACCTTGAAGGAATGATGTATTTGATTACCAGGTTTAATATGTCAGTCTCAAATGGCTTTTGTGTTCCAGAGTGATGGATAAATGGATAAATATGTTCAGAATAATGTAAAGACAAGTCGTTTATTACTTTCTTAGCATTATTTTTATGTTTCCTGTTCGTTGGCATGACATGCATGATGACTGGTACAAAAAGTAATTCACTGCCTCAAGGAAGATTGGATATATTTCTGTTAACTGAGCTATTATTATTTTTATTATTATTATTATTATTATTATTATTATTATTATTATTATTATTATTATTATTATTATTATTATTATTATTATTATTATTATTATAGATGGGTTGATGAAATTACAGATAATATGTATCTCACTTTTAAAAGCTGTGGGACGAAACCACATTCACGATGTGTACATGATCAGCAATTATAGGTTGAAAAATGTGTCAAACATTTAATAGTCCCTTCTTTCAAGGAACCAAAGCTTTCTTCATATATCTGTTCACTAAATACCTATTCCAAAAAAGGAAAACACTAAGTCTCTTATACAAAGCGAAAATCTGTACTTTGTGAATCATTAAGAAGTGTGTTGGTAATATTTTATATCAAGAAACAGATAATGGTATTATTTCGAAAGGATATCTGACACTGGACTGATCTTGTCACGTTTTTTTTTCTGCTTTTATTCTAGTTTCCTTTTATATTAAAGATTTAAATTTGAATTCATTCTTGGTTTGTATTTTGTGGATTTTTCACAAATACAAATACTTGCATTCTTGAGTGATCAACTTGCACACTATCGCACAGCAAGAACATGGGAAACTGATAACCATTATACCATTGAGTTATCATCAAATGAAATCATATCATTGCAAAACAGTCAACAATTGTATAGATCAAGTGCCCACTGTATGATTCCTGGTGCAAACGTTAAGAAAGTTTGGTAAATGTAGTGTGTGAAATGGACACTGATGCACGGTTTACATAAAAGCAGCAGAAAGATCCTCTCACCCGCCAGTTATCTTAAATCCTCAGCACTTCGGTAATCTAACCCACTTCCTATCCAATCAATGTCCAGATCACACCCACGACGTAATTGCGTACCAATTACGTGATTTTGCAGGCAACAGTGTATGCTTTGGGATTTTTAACCTAGCTTTAATATTTCTTCAAAGTCTGTAGTGTGGCAGTTTATAGTGATGTCTAGCTCTGGGGCATCATTTTGCAGACATGTAACATCATGTCTGACCCATTCACATTATTCTAACACCAAACCGACCAGTCTTAACACTAATTACTTAATGCCGAGCGCCAATCAAGGAAAGTGCTAGTATCATTTTTATATTAAGTCTTTCATAGGACTTTCTCTTGCATAATAGGTTATGACTCGTTAGCTTTCCATCTTATCACAAGGCATTCTTCAGAGGAATGACGACTTTAGTCGGGCGACCAACTAAATGTTGACCATGTAACAAAATCCTTAGGTACAATGTTCCTTTTCAGAATCACGGTTAAACACTGACCACATGACTCCAGTCCAGTCCAGTCCTAACATTCCATTTAGCCAACATATTGTGATACACGATATGTGTCAGAATGTGAATAAAGGATTATAAACATAAGTATATTTGTAATATTCTCCAATAAATTGTGACAGATACAGACATTTTGTGAAGAAAAAAAAAAAGAATATTTAAAAAAAATATGAATAATGAAAATGTGGTTAACATAATCAAAATTGCAACAATGTTGCTCTGGAATTTCCATACATTCCATACCGATAGAAACTACCCATGTACTATTGCAATAATAAAGTAACATGGTATGTACCACTGGAAAAAAAAAAAACACTTCACTACACTGGTATACATGTAATACCATGTACCACTTCTATAACACGCTGTAAGGGACAATCAACATAATATATGTTTTGAGCACACTACACAGATATAACAACATAATATATATTTATATAGCACACTAAATGGGTTTAACAATATATATATATATATATATATATATATATATATATATATATATATATATATATATATATATATATATATATATATATATATATATATATATATATTACACTATCCAGGCCTACCAACATAATATACATTTATATAATGCACTGTACAGGCTCACCAACATAATATATATTTATATAGCAACACTGTACAGGCCTACCAAAATAACATACATTTATATAGCACATGTTATAGGCTTACAAACATTTACTTGCTTGATCATTGTTTTGTTTGTTTACTTGGGGTCTATTTTTTTAATTGTGTTTTTGTTCACCAAAATTAAAATTTTTAATGAATGTAAGGGGGAGCTACAGTGGCTTATAGTGATTAGCTGGCAAGACTTGTGACCAGAAGAGTATGGGCATGAATGGACCCATACTTGTCAGAATAGAGCCTGTCATAAATAATGATCTAATAAAGCTAAATAAATGGTTCAAACAATGCAACATCATCTCAAAAAGCCAATCTTTGAAAAATAAAATACAAACTTAGCAGGCAAATTTGAGCAAAACTGTATATGACTTATATCAGGCCCATATTAGAATATACCAGTGCAGTCATGGATAACTGCTCCTTGATTGAGTCAGAACAATTGGAAAAACTATGGCAAGAAAATTGGCAAGAATGTTTAAAAGACTTCCAATACACTAGTGGGCAATTTTTATCATTCTGAAACAGGGTGGGAAAGTCTATAGCCTAGAAAAAGACAACAATTAATAACACTCTACTACATTAAGATGAGCTAAATTCCAGACTATCCCATTAAATTACACCCCCTCCCTGTGTCCAAACAAACAAATTATAACCTTCAATGTTCAAATAATATGGTCATGTACAATTTCAGGCTCTTGTATTTCTTCAACAGTATCTTTGTGGAACAATCTTAAACAGAATACACAGTGTAGCATGTCTCACAGTGCTTTGAAAAATTGTTAATGTCCAAACATTGTATCTAGCAAAATGCCAATTTTTATTAATTGAACCTGGAGACTATCCATAGTAGATTTAGACATAATGTAAGTTCATATAAAGCTGATCTTTGCTGTGTTTAACGTGCTCCTGCAGTAGGATTAAATCCACCATGCATTTCTTCATGTTCTGTCCCAAGTACAGTAGACAACAAAGTGAGTTGATAAGAAAATTACTATCAGTGTCGTATGCAACTATTAGCTTAGATTTATTGCTTTCAAAATGAAAAATATAGAAGTTTACATCATTTATGCAAATATATAACAGCCACTTCATGATTTCAATAACTTTCTCAAATTTTGATAGTTGTTATTGTGCCTGCAACTCCATCTCCAATAATTTTTCATTATCATTATGTTGTCATGTTGAAGATCTTTGAATACTTGTATCATGTATGGAGAGTGCTAATTTAAGTTTTTAGGACTTGTGCCCAATTCTACTGTATCCAATTGTGACAATACATTATTTTCAAACAAATAATATAGATCCTAATCTCCTGGTACATTATATGAAGAAAGATCAGGTCTTTGTTATTTACAGTTGGACTCAACTTATAAGCAGGCATATATGGTAATAAATCTGACAACCCAAAAAGAGTCTGGATTCCCATTGAACTAAAACAGGTAATTAGAATTTGACAAGATTTTGAAAAACAATTTGCATGCTGAAGGCTTTAATTGTGTACATTGTAGACATACTGTTACATATATCTAATTTAATTTTTTGTTTATTAGTTTTAAACAATTTTTTTTATTTCATTACATGCTATTGAAATGTAACATTGTATGC